CCCCAAAACCCCAAAACCCCAAAACCCCCAAGATTGAAATCTGTACTAATCTTTGATTGTTGGAAATATATATGATGAAATGTAAACTATTAATAAAAACTTTCTTTTAGTTGAGTATCAGAACATTCAGAAAGTCAGAAACGAAGAGTAGAATTGTTATTGGTTGAATTTGTCATGTCATCTGTTGGGATAGTATCTGATGATTGACTATCTGGCTTCCTCCAGTCTCCATTTGCAAGTGAACTAAGAATATTTGGATAGTTATCCTTGAAGACCATATTGTCAATGAATATATTAAAGAATGCACTGATAGTAAAGAAAACAATAAGTAGTCTTAGAACAAATACCAATTTATATGCATTCTTTTGATATGCAACAACTAATAGAGCTGATGTAATTAGCATGAAATAGGCGAAAACGGCAGCAAAAATAAAGAACTCGCCTAAGCCAATCATGAAAAAGTATATCACAAGGGAGGGTGCCATATCAAATTCCACTACTCTTATGAAATTCTTCAATATCTTCGGTACTTCTTATTATTTCTAAAAAGAGATTAGTTGGTCTGACTTCGAAATTAATAACCAGTTTTGCATTAAAAATGCTGAAAGTGAATTTCTTTTTCCAATTATAAATTACTTACATCTGCGCCATACTGAGTTCTTCTGTTAGCCATTATTTTAGCGACTGTAAAACCAAGGAAGAGAATAAAGGTTATGGATAATAAGGCAGTTGAGCTCTCCTTGAACACATGTTACTGATCTGAGACTGGAAATACACCCGATATTTAAGGAATGGACATTTTGATAATTAAAATTAATTATAAATTGATAATAAATTATTCTGATCTAACTAAATGTTTATTAAGCTTATTAGTCCAAATGTATTTTAATAATTTCTCTTATCCTCAAAAGGATTCCCTAAATTGATTTGATCTATATCAACTGATAAATATTTCCCTCTTCTCAAATTACCATTGTCTTCTTCTTTTTAGGACTTTTCGCTCTTTTAAATTCTTTTTTGAAGCTATCTCCTAGGACGAAATTGATACATCTCTTGAAAAGCCACTCTATCTTAGGAGCTAACTTCTTTTCGCTGATAAGTCTAATTTTTTCTTATTCATCTTTGAATGCCTGATACTCCTCAAGTTCATCCATCTCATGAGCATTTTCAGGAGTAATCTAAGAATAAATAAGAGATACAGATAAGTTACTTAAACACTGATCTTGTCAGCAATTCTTCCAAAGGCATCAATAAATTCTACTATGCTCATTTTCACATGCCTATCATTATCTAACTCTGCGACTTATGTCATCATAGCTAAGTTAAATTGAACATTCAAATCTCTTTGACCAAATACATCATCTAGAATTTCAGTAGCAGCTGCTAGGTTGCTCACTTCTTCGAGACTCATGAACCTATCAATAAAAGTCTAAATAAAATTATAAATACTTTGGATTTCCTGGCTTAGTGAACTTTCCTGAAAATTTATCGTAAATAGCTTTTAAAGGCATTAAATAATACTTGAATACTATGTCACATTCTTCATTCCATAATCGCTTTACTCTCCAGTCATGACAATCATATCTCTTAACGAAAGGTAGGACAGATTCATTCATTAGCATCTTAACTGCATCGGAAGTTGTAGGCATTACCTTGCTCTTAAAATATTTGAATACAGCAATTCTAACTAAGATCTCCATAAGTTGATATCTGACTAGGGCTCTATCTGGATTCAAAGGATTACTCTTATTACCAGCATTTGTAGAAATAAATTCCAAATCTATGTCACTTAACTTCATCAACTCACCCTAGAGTTGGCAATTATTTTAAAAGTCCTAAAAACTATTTTGCCCAATTGAAGGTGTACCATTGTTAGGATTAACTCCTGCAAAGAACTTATAGCATTCTCTTAAGTGCTTGTATATTGTTCTTAAGAATGCTTTTATTTATTCTAATTCAGTCTCCTCTTTGATTATCTTAGGAATTTTGGAGTTATTCCAATCATATTCAAAACATCTTGATAGAATTATTTCGTTATCTGGAATATAGTCCTTAAACACAGATTTTTTAAAATCCCAAGGCGTCTTCTCCCTTCTCAAACCTTTTATCTTTTTTATTGGGGGTCTTGGTAGAACTGTAAGATCTTCTAGATAGTATTAGGTTATTACCTCCTTAGCCTAAATAACATTTTGAAAAATATTTGTCCCTGGGACTTCAATAGCTCTTTATTGAATAAAACTTTTAGTGAAACTCTTATTTCCATCCTTAACCAAAGGGGGCTATGTTGTTGAGAAGTGATAATTTAATTTTCCTGGTGGGACCATTCGCAATAAAGTGAATTCCCCAGATATTTCATCCTTCTCCATAATGTCACCCTCTTCGTCATCACAAGATAAGTGAATGAAGACAATTGTATTATCATCCATATCATCAATTAATGACCTTCCATCCTCCAAGACAACATCTTGTGGATTCCATCTAAATTCTAACTGCGACCAACCTTCGCATATCCAGCAATTACTAGTTGCTTTTAATTCCACTTTTCTCTTGCTAATTGTTCCTGTGTGTAGTAATGGTTTTATTCTTGAGACTACATGAGAAGCAGAGGGCTCAGAACTCTTAGAACTGAAATATCCAAATGAATTCGTATTTACATCGTTACCTAGCATATGTAGTCCTAATAATGAATGATTATCTTTAAGCCCTTCCTCCATTAGATCACAATCTTCTCTCTTCAAGTTATTATGCGACAGATCTAAATGGATGAGTGATTTGTTCTCACGGAACATATTCTAGAGTTCTAAACCAACACTCAATTTGGATATCTTCATTAGCTTAGACATATTTTTATTTTCTTCATCAATTTCTTCCTTAGTAGCAATAGGATTATACATCGAATGATTTTAGTCTATTACTGGCTGTGGTGCTTATGACCCAAAACTGTTGAATGATGCGTCTAATATCTATAGTCCGTCATTTGTTTGTATTGACTTTGCAATTATTTAGGCTCCTTTTATTTTAATTTGATTCCATCTAATAAATAGAACACTAAGAGTGTTATTGAGTCTCAACATCTCACAAATCCCCTTAGCTCCTTCATCTGTAATTTTATTTCCACTATGATTTTTAGTTATTTCAAGTTATCCTACCTAATGTTCAAATAAGTGATAGAATTATTGTTAATCATGACTTCACAGAGCATATTAATAGCTTTGTCCCCCATTTGATTTCCTTCAAGTATCAATTGCTACAGCCTATAAAAGAATTAATAAATTAGTCAGGCAGGTATTAGCCATGCAAATATTAATTGATCTTAATTACTCTTAAAGTTTAGAGTCTATAATGTCAAAAAGTAGTTCATATGCATGAATTGATATCTTAGGATTTAATGATAGATCTAGTATGATCAGATCATGCTTGAGAGATTTAATAATAGGAATAGCTCCGAGGTCAGTTAGATTGCTATTCTTCATCAAAAGAGATTTCTGATCCTCGAAAAGTTCTAATCCTTCAGCCAGAGCCTAGGCATACTTATCCCCGATAGCTAGCTCCCTAATAAAATATATTAATACTACAGAACATATATCAAATTTTGATTTACTTACTTTACATCTATTTAATCTCTCTTTTTCTTCCTTTAGACAATACCAAAAGGCTTAGGAGCTATTCCAAAGGATTCACATTTATCTATAAACTTTGAAAATGGAGTCACTTTTTATATCTTATTCTTGTCCTGCTTCTTGTATCTTTCAAAGAATTTTTGAAACGCCTTCATTTCCTAGAGTTTATTCTCCTCTACGACTCCTGGAGTACTTTGCCTGTCATCTTCAATTTAGCTATTTTTGGATATTTATTTCATTGGCATCAAGGGTCTATTCATAAATTGCATCTATTCATATTAGCCAAAAGCAGGGATGAAAGAATTATCCACAGTATTTAACTTTATACTCATATTGGGAGTGTTTAATTGAGACTAAGGGATTAAAACAGATGATGATTTATACATGTTTGGAGTCGTATCCCATTCGTTGAAAGTGGTGAACACCTTGGTCGTTTCATCTAAGATGTTTTAAGTACTCACATTATCTCTTATGGTATCTGCTAGAAGCCTTGACCTATATGGAGTGGTATTGGCATCCATTATTTAGATCTAATCCTATATCTAAACCTTTTTATTCTTTATCATATTGTATTCCTTGCTAAACTTCTCAAGATACTCATCTCCATTGTTGCTATAGACATAAAATGATGAGTTAGTTTCATCATATGGCTAACCATCAACCAAATATATCTTCTTCTTGTTGTTTTTTATGTATTCACTAATATCATACTTAAATTTCGGAAGAGTTGGTGCTGAAGAGTTTTTATTGAGAGTAGGCTTTCGCTGGTATTGATTTTTCACAGACTTTTCAAAATCTCTATTGTTTTATTTGTAAATCTAATTATGTCTTTCAAGGATTTGCTCAGGATTATGCTTAAGAAATCGTTCAATGTTCTTGGTTGTACTTAGAGAGGGTAGATTGATTTAGCTAATAGTTTTAATGATAATCTCTCCATGGTCTCCTGGAATCAAGCTGCCTCTTTGCTTCTTTCTTTTTTTCTTTTTCTTCTTTTTCTTATCAATAGTTGTTTAATCTTGAAACAACAGTGTACTCTAGCTGTGTTTGATGTCTCTAGTCATATAGTTAGCATTTATATCCTTCATTGTCTTGATGCTTTTGATAGTAGCAGGGATAGCTGTGTTGTTCATGGCCGAAATCTGAAGTGCTGCAGGTATATTAGGCAATCTAAGGTCTGATTAAGATTGTGATTGTCTATTTTTCTTCATTAAATTTTCGTATGTAATTTAGAGTCTATCTTGTTTTAATAATTATTTCTACTAGCTTTGGAAATATCAGTAATAAAACAAACTTAATTTTCTTGATTAGAAATTGAAATCGATTAATAGTAAACAGTTAAAAATTAGACAATTTAATCTTAATACAAACATATTTTATTAATAATATTTTAAATTATTGGCGGTGTTCTAAAAAATGAGCGACGAACAGACAATTAATACAGCAACTGGCGGTCAAGCAAGCAATGCAGTCATTTAGCATTAGCAATAGGTTGCTAGTCTGAATGGACATTCTATTATGTTCATGCAATTCTCTAAGAATGAGGAAACTCGAACATATATTGACTGCAAAACTCCCAATGAAATGCTTGAAACATTCTGTCGCATCTATGAGAATTTCCTTCTTAATAAGATGGGGATGATAAACAAAGAGGATGAGGATGAAGAAGGCAACAGCAATAATGGAAAGGGTGGCAATCAAAATGAAGTCAAGAAAGTAGAATATCAACTTGAAGATATATTAAAGTTTGTGGATTAACTCTATGATCTATCAGCTATGGTATTCAATCAAAAGGCAGCAGGCTATACCTGCCATGGGAAAGCTTGGATTAAGGGAATGCTGCATGTATACTTAAGGAAGCTAGCTGAGTGAGTAAATTACCAATAGACTCTACTGTATTTAGTAAGTTAAAGGTAGTTATCTATATATGAGTAAAGAAAATCATAATCGACTTGTGTAATTAATTTCTTTAAGCCCCTAAAATTCAGTTATTTATGTACTATGGGGTTTTGGGGTTTTGGGGTTTTGGGGTTTTGGGG